CCTGTCCTCTCACTCCGATATTGCTTGTGAGCAGACTGTGCAATCACGATCTCTCCGTGCTTTAAGTAGAAATGATTTCTCTTTGCTCCTGGATTAAACGTTGTCAAAAGTTAATCAACCATTAATGACTTTTTGTAGGATATAAGGTCTTTTATACCGTCATTCTCCTTTTTTGTCATATTTTTGTGCTTCATTTCACTCATTGCACAGATTGTTGTTATATGAAGGGTATGTTTGTCTGTTGTTGTTTGTTCTTCATGTCTGCAAAACCACAATAAAAATAATAAAAAATAAAAATAAAAAATAAAAAAAATGCCTGACCAATGAAAATGCTACTGGAAATTGTATTGGCTGTAAGTGAAATGCACCAGAAAGTCTTTCAACAATCAAAGATGGAACTTTAATTTCTTTACCATGTAAGTTTATGCTAGAAATGTTTCTGAATGGGATATTTGTCTGATTTGTACATACAGATATCCTAGTCTGTCTAACTGCATCACTACATTGCAGTCATTACAGGTCAAAGCCATCTGATGTTCCATTCATCTAAATAAACAACATATATGGCTCTTAAATCACTGCCTATAAAAATTCAGTGTTGTCATATTTTCGAATACAACTGAATTGAGGTCATTTGTTTTATAATTGTATTACTGACTTTGTACTTGTCATTTTTTGTAAATTCAATTCAGTTTGAAATCAAATTTGAAATCAAGCTTCCTGCTGTAAGCTTTTGCAACAAATGTACCCTATTTTAAAGACACAAATACACAGAATGAGCAAATGTTTAAGTTTGAGATTTTTGTAATGGTAATTGATCAATATTTCTATGTATGTAAATAAAAGCCTATATTAAAATCTGTTCATCGTATAAAGCGAATGTGTCCTGAATTGAGGTCATTTGTTTTATAATTGTATTACTGACTTTGTACTTGTCATTTTTTGTAAATTCAATTCAGTTTGAAATCAAATTTGAAATCAAGCTTCCTGCTGTAAGCTTTTGCAACAAATGTACCCTATTTTAAAGACACAAATACACAGAATGAGCAAATGTTTAAGTTTGAGATTTTTGTAATGGTAATTGATCAATATTTCTATGTATGTAAATAAAAGCCTATATTAAAATCTGTTCATCGTATAAAGCGAATGTGTCTTTTTAGAAGACTTGGATTAAACCAATTTCAAAGCTTGAAATAATTTTAAAAATAAAATATTAAAATATCTATATGGCAGTATACAGTATGTGGTAGTTTTGCCAATGGTATTGAATTAATGGTATATTAACCACTCATATCCAACCGTGAATCTGCTATGAGCAAGAGGTGGAGTGGAGGTGCACCACAATAAAACCCCACCCTTTATTCAATATTCCGTTTCACTTGGAAATAACATCACAACACTGAAGTCAGTTGCAACTTCCGGTTCACGGGTACCTTAATATATTTTTCAAGGTATTGAAGTTAGAAATTCCTGTATCATGGCTACTAATTCACATACTTTGTCAATAAGATAAAAGTGGGTTTTGTTCAAAGTAGCTATTCTCCACATAGATCTTTGACATGAATGAATATTTTTTGGTAATTCATTAAATATCGCTGGCTAAAAAGTAACTAGTATCTAGTACGACACAAAATGGGGGGAAATGTTTTCGATTTGAATCCCATTTCCAGCATTTACATACATTTAGGGACTATGGTGATACAAAATCCAGGAAATAATTAAGTTGATTATAATGATAAATTCTGCCAAAAAGAATAGTAGGCTACTAAACTATGTATAAGAAAAAGATGTCTTACTTTCTTTATCGTTTAATAGGGGCCGATCGCCAAGACTTGAGAGAATCATTTTTTAAAAAGTCAAAGTTACCTCTGTAATCCAAAAGGATGGGAAAATTGATAACGCAATAGATACACTACTTATTTGGTACACAGGATGCAAGATTGTCACACAATCTCACAAACATAAAAAAACCCATTTAACTTTAATATAAAGAACATTTTTCATTGTCCGCCATCTATCCAATTCAATCCCATCTCTCTATGTATATCCTAACCATCCACCCTTCTATACTGTCCTGTCTCCTCTTCTCACATGAACGAACCAAACACATGCTTCCTGTACTCATTCGCCAGGATAAACTCCTGGCAAATGTTTTCCTTGCTGACTTTATCCAGTGTTTCTTTGCGAATGACGGACTGCTACATTGTTAATGCGAATCTGCAACATTGTGCTTCTCAGCCAGGTCTTCAACTTCCTCGGAGCACTGAAGCTCCTCTCTAAGAGATAAAAAAAAAGAGCAAAAAATACGGCCCCAAGAAAAGAAGCCTTGGTGTGAAAAAGCAAAGTAAGTCTTGTGTGTGGTGAGGATTTTACATCCTCTGCACCTGGAGAGAAATGGGTTAAATGTGTTTTTTGTGATGGGTGGGCACATGAGTTATGCACCGAAGGATATGAACATTATGCTTGTGGTGTGTGTGATGAAGAGTACGTTGTCGTAATGAGTACAGTTTCTACACGTCGTGCATGCAGTGGTATGTTGAAAATGTTTCCACTTACTGTGAGATGAACAATTTGTTCATTTGTTAGATTTATCATTTGTTTAATAACACTGATTTAAAAAAAAGTTTATATACCTACAGAAACGGAGTGAAAAGATGTCTTACATTTTTGATATTTACCTTGAAAACGTTTATGCAAACCGTAGCAAATGTTTAAATGTGAAAAAAGAAAGTTACATGATTTTGAAATGTTAGCCTATCGGTTCATTAAGTTGAAACCTAGGCATATATACAGGTCGGTTTTTAAAGTTTAAAAAGAAAGCTTGACATAATTTAATGTCTAATCTCCCTTAAATCACACAGTTGAAAAGGTTGAAATGTCTTAATAAATGTTAAGTGACATGTTTTTAATGGACTCTGTGCACAAGCGTAGCGACGAACTTCCGCTGTCGCCAGAAGTCGGGATATCAGCTTCCGGTCAGTGTTTACAAGATGTCTTCCAAGATCTGCCTAAAATAAGCATTAGCGATGTACACCGCATCGTTGATGCCTGGTCCCCTGCTCCAACAAGCAAGCGGAACAAGGGATTCAAACTCTACATATCGAGTTATATCCACAACTACGAGGGTAAGTAGTTTAATCTAATGTGGTGTGCCGACAGCTAGCGGCTAAGCTAGTTAGCGACATGTTTATTTTTTTAGTGTAACGTTAGTATAGAATTATCAGCTGTATTAACTTTCTCACCCTCTCAGTTTCTAATAAAGATCAGGGCACAGGTGAAGTCATTGCCAGGTCATTGTGCTACAGATCCATGAGGAAAGCTGAGAAACCTCACAGTTTGAGTGTATGGTGACGCTAGGACTTATAAACCAACAGTTATAGGCTTGTTACTTTAATAATCCAGCGTTTCTAATGTTCCTGGGGATTTAGCTAAGGTAATTCATGTTTAATATAACTCTTAAGTTAGTACGTAAAATTGACAGGTGAGTATACCTTGCCGGTACCCATTCGGGTTACTGCATGTGTTCTTGTTCATGTTATAACTTTATTTATTCTAACTATTACTTATTAGAACCCGGTGTTCCTGATGTTCCAGAGGATTGAGCTAAGGTCATTCAGGTTTAATGTAACTTTCAAATCTAATGAAAACAGTTTTAGTAGGCAGGTAAGTTTACCTAGCCAGTCCACTCCGGGTAAAATACGTTCTTGTTCAAGTTTTCCTCAACTCAGTGATTCATTTAAGACGTAGGGCCTAATCTAGTGTTAAAGGTATTAGGCTATCATGTTTCAAATAAACGATTATGGATTTTGATCTAAAGCTGTTGTAACATTACACAACATAATCTAATCCAACATATAGAAATACATGACATTTGGTCTGTTTGTATAGAATATTAGATCTAAAATATTTTAAACACAAGATTACGTCCTTGATTAAACTGACCAACCTAAGATAAATAAGTATTTACTATGATATTTTACTTGTGCAGGTGGTACTAAAAGAGTCAAGTCCCGTTGAGCTGATTCAACACAGCTGCACATGTGTTGCTGGAGCAGCATTATGCAACCACTGTGTTGCTTTGCTGTTCCAGTCAGCACATTACTCACAGCTGAATGTGCCAGTGGTCCCTCCTGTGCTAAGCTGTACTGAAGGGGAACAGCAGTGGCACAAGCCCAGAACTTTGGTAAGTTTGCATTATAAGTATAGACCTGTTGGCTATATTTTCGAACTATACTGAACAAAAATATAAATGCAACACTTTTGTTTGAACTCAAAGATCTAAGACTTTTTCTATGTACACAAAAGGCTTATTTCTCTCAAATATTGTTCACAAATCTGTCTAAATCTGTGTTAGTGAGCACTTCTCCTTTGCCGAGATAATCCATCCACCTCACAGGTGTGGCATATCAAGATGCTGATTAGACAGCATGATTATTGCACAGGTGTGCCTTAGGCTGGCCACAATAAAAGGCCACTCTAAAATGTGCAGAACAAAAGTGTTGCGTTTATATTTTTGTTCAGTGTACATTTAATTTCCAACTGTATCCTGAATAACTTGATAGGGTATAAAGCCAGGCCCAGTGGAAAAGATGGTTGTGCTGTCTGCTAAACCAAAGTCTAGAGCAACAACAGAGGGAGTAAGGTAAAAGCTGAATACTGTAGATTTTTTACAATATGTTGCATATTTAAAGTAAAATACCTGTGTGGATATGCCACTTTCCACTTATGAAATTTTATGTTCCACACAGGAGCACACTCTACAAAGGCCTGAGTGGAGATATGCCTGATCTATCTGTCCTTCAGGTAAGTAGGGATAAAACAATATCAAATTTCACAGTACAGTATAATATCCTATCAACCAAAATCTGTATACTAGTATATTAATATGTTTTTATTATCCTTTCCCTTTTGATTAAATGTACTGTGGCCCCTCGATTATGCAAACAAGTATTTTACTTTGAAGAAAAAAAACTATTAAATTGAAATCAATAGGAGAATGTTCACACACGGGTCCTCTATTATGAACTTATGTTACATGCATAATGTGCAATATATTGTGAATAGGAATTACAGGGAAAGTTACAGGTATGATAATTGTGGTTGTTTTATATTATTATATTTAGTGTATTGCTAATCAGTATATTATTATTTCCCAGGTGACAGAGGTATATAAAGATTTCCCTACAGCTGAGGCACCAATGATCTGCAGTATGGGCATCAGCTGTGAAATTCCCCTGGTCGACTCTGCCCTTGGCAAGGTTCAAGCCGGTAGTCCCATGTCCTACCAACAACCTGCAACAGCAAAGAGAAACCTGTCCTTCCATGCTGCCCCACCACGTCCATCTGTGCCTCTTCAGAGTTACCGCCTACAGCGATCCAGTTGCATGTTTGTCTGCACTGAACCACAACAGCTACACCATAGGAGTCTGGAAGTCACCTGGGACATGGCGCACAATTTTGAATTTGCTACCAGGGACCAAAGTTCATGTACTGAATGGCATCAGCTAAGAAGGCATAGACTGACTGCCTCACGTTTCAGGGAGATCTGCCAGGTTCGAGAGAACTCTGAAGAAAACCTGGCTAACCGGATACTGCAAGGAACCTGTCAGACGGCGGCTATGAAGAGGGGGCTCAAATTAGAGGCAGATGCTATCTGGGAATACTGCCAGATGAAAAGGGTGAACCACTACCCCTGTGGATTTGTCATTCATCCCGATGCTCCTTGGCTGGGGGCGTCTCCAGATGGGTTAATCTTTGACCCTTCAGAGCCATGTCAGTTTGGGCTGATTGAGATGAAATGCCCGGATGTTAAAAGCTATGTTGACTGCCCATATCTCAAAATGAAGTCCGGCAAATTGGAGCTACAACAAACACATGCTTACTACTGGCAAGTACAGGGGCAGATGTTAATAACAGGAATGAATTGGTGTGATTTTGTAGTTTCAGATGAGGAAGATGTACTCATTCAAAGAATTTACAGGGACAATGGAGTTTTAGATGTGATCAGAGAGAAAGTAGACAGGTTTTATTTCTATGTCTATTTGCAGAAATGTCTAATGCTTCAGGAGTAGGGCTGCAACTAATGTAAATAAAAACAGTTGTTAATTAATTTAATAGACAATAATAGATAACCAATCAATCAGTTGTGTAATTGTTGCAGCTCTACGCAGGATTGAAATAAAATGCACTTAAATGTATTTTTTTTAACCATTAAAAGTGAAAATTAAAGTTATGATTGAGCACTATAAAAGTTTTTACCCCCCTCAAAAAAGACCAGTCAATTATTACTGTAACTAAATGATTACATTACCATGCCTGTGATTTTTGTGTTTTTTTATTTCGCACCTTTAATTTTTTTACAGAAGATAAATAATATCAAAGGAAATTTACAAAATGTTATTCTTATGAATTATGTATGTTGGACACTGAAAAATAGTTTATACTGATTTAGTTAGAAGAAGATACGGCTACAATATCACACTTCATATCTCCTTTTCTTGACCAGAGGTCCATTTTGGTCATTCGAGAGGAGACAAGCAACTGTGAAGAGTTGGTTTATGCTCCCTGCACCAGAGAGAGGGATAGTGGTGTCAAAGAGTTTATTCTCTTTCACTCTTCTGATTATTCTTTCGACATGCACCCTCAAACGGGCAATGGACTGTGTCTTCAGAACATCCTCCTCTGACATTTGGGCCCACTTGCAGAGGAAGGCAGGATGATGAACATTCCCAGATACAAGGTCATCCACCAAGAATCCTTTGTCCACCATGATGGCCATGTCAGGCGTTAAGAGCGATGTAATCCCTGACTGACGAAATACCTCCCTGTCACTCATGGAATTTTCAAAGAGCACCAACACAAACGTAAGGGCTCCATGAGGGGACATGCCCACCATAGACTTAAAGGTGCAGTGGGACTTATAGGTTGAGAATACTTCGCTCTGAAGGAGCAAGGATGAAGGTGTTTGACACCGTATCTCTGTACAGTCAAGGATTACTTGCGTGTCGCTGTAAATGCCCTCAAAGTCATGTGGAAGACTGGCCTTCACAGCTGCAGGAGACATCTATATACAGACCGAGCCCAGTAAGCTGTAGAGGAAGTTGGCCCAGGTAATGATGATTCGGGTGACTGTTGTTCGGTGGATATCTGTGACTCAATTCTCTCTGGGTACAGCCAGTGGATAGGTATGTGAGGAAGAGAAAGAGCTAATCTATCGGTAGCAGTTTCTGGGGGAGACATGCTTAATGAGTGTTAATTCAAAACCATCCTTTTCATGCTTAGGGGTGTGGGGGGCTGTTGGTACTTACAGTTGGTCTGGTTAAAGGGCTTTCAGTTGTTGTGCTAGTGGCATCGGTTTTCTTTGACCTGGTGACTAACTATTTTGGCTGTTGCTGCCTCGATCAGGTTCAAAACGCCATCAGATGCTCGTATGAGAAGAATCTAAAATACAGTATTACAATTGAAATCAGTTGTCTTGTCATACGTGCTCAAGAATATGATTGACAAAGATGACAAAGAGAAAATAATTACTTGGCCAGTTAATCAGTAAACAGTTATGAGTAGATGTTGATATTACAACTATCTTACCTGGTGTAAAATCTGATGTCTTCAGGTGACGAAGCAAACCGTTTAAGTCCAAAGGAGTGATGAAGATGAAATGTTTGGAGCTGCCCTCTCAGCGTCTCGATTTCGCTCAACGCATCTTCATACTGCTCCCGGTCCACACATACAGTACGGCTGGCCCCGTAGTCGTGGTCCACGACCATCGGAACCATGACGGGATGACCGATGTGCTCCACAGGCCCCGCCGAGTCAGGTCCCGGACTTGGCGGTCGAGAACGGCGTTCCCAAACACCGGCCCGTGACTTCGTAGTGTAGCTATTCCACTCGAATAATGATGGGACAGAGCCTGCTGCTAAAACCCATCTACCCTTAGCAGTAGTGTGGATTTCATTATCTTGAAAATGTCGGCTGCATACCTTGGTGTGGGGGGGGTCACCGAAAATCCCACCCTCCTTATTTTGTGCAGCCACTGCACACGAAGGCTGGTCTTCTTGGGGAAGCGGTGGAAGCTCAAATGTCTGTTATACAGACCTGAAGCCGAGCAAAGTGGCACACAGCAGTGATTCGTAGATTATATTTATTTTTTCATACAGCAGCACTCATCTTGTTTGTTTACGGATGCGGATGAAGACAGGAAGTAAACCGGAAACTGATATCCCGACTTCTGTTAACAGCGGAAGTTCGTCGCTACGCTTGTGCACAGAGTCTATTGGTCTACATTGTAATAAGAAATTTAAATTTTATTGAACCAGTTTGCTAATGTTGCAAATTAATCCATTTGTCTACACTCAAGAGTATCGTTTTAATAAATTAATAAATGGACATACTGTGCTATGTAGAATAAAAAATGTAGAGTTGAGTACTATGAGGAAATATACTACAATTTAAACTAAACTGAATTTGAATTGATTGTGTGAAATCTGACTCTTCCAGCAAAGCCACGCGTTTCCACCGCTGGAACTTTCTCCAGGAACTAGGGACTTTGGGCCGGTACTCGGTGTGTTTCCACCGCAGGAACCAGGATCTAAATAAGTTCCGGGTAAAAAAAAAATTGCCCCTCAGCATGTCTCTGCTCGCGAGGTAGTACTTTTTCAAAGGTCCGGAACTTTCAGGGGCGGGACTTGGGCGCTAAACATGCTGATTGGTTGGGTTCACGCAGCATTGTGATTTCAACCACCATTTATTTGGATAATTTTCAAAATATTACCGTTATTGTGTCATGAAATGTAGTTTTAAAAGTATTTCAGGTGAGAATGTAGTTGTTTAAAACTCAAAACTGCAGTTTATTTATAAAGACAGCGCCTTCATATTTCCCCATGAGCTGATTCGCTACAACATCTACTTCCGGAAGGCCAAATAAAGTGCTTTTGCTTTCGCCTAGAAACACACAGCGTCTCCCTGACATGCTGCTTCAACACTAACTGCGGTTAACTAACTGCAATAACATGTATTGTATATAATCGACCAATTGGGGCGCGTGAGAAGGTGAGATCTACAGAGAACGATCAAAGCGACGCAAATACGCGTTTTTGTTCGTTCGTTCGACTTGAAGCGTCGCTGCGCACCGATCATTGAATTGACACCAAAGTACAGCGAGAACGATTCGAAAGCACAAGGAACCGTCTGCTCTGCTCTCTATAGCGCTTCTGAATCTCATACAGTGATCGATCTGCACAGTGCAAACCGCCAAAACCTGGATATTTTAGGCAATATAGAAATCCTGGCAAGAACACGTTCCGTAACAAAGGCCTGTATGGTAACCCTTTGTGCACAGCCGCCATTGTAGACTACTCTCCTAGGTTCAGGGAACAATCCTCCATAAAATGCACTGCACACACTCTAAAGTGTTGTAAATACAACTTAACCACTGATTTCTAGTTGTGCTCATTTGGAAGGCCAAACAAAGTATTTTCGCTTTCGCAACGAAACACACAGCATCTCCAGGACATGGCGGCGGCGACAACAATACTACAGCGAGAATAAAAGTTACACCTTCTTTATTTGCATATACATATTATGCAAATCTTCCCACACAGTGACGTAGATTTGTGGGACGTGTTTGAATGAGGCATTTTAGGAAGGCGTGGCTGAGTCTTAACTTTTATAAAGAGTATCTCTTTGGCTTTGAGACTTTAATCTTTAAGCAAAGGAAAACATGAAATCACATCATATTTAACATTATTAACATACCTTTAAGGTCCTATATAGCATTTTCAAAGCATGGTTCTTTATGGAACCCTATGAAAAGAGTTCTATTTAGCACCAAAAAAGCGTTCTGCTATTGTTAGAAGCTGAAGAACCCTTTTCTGGAACGGTTTAGAACCATTTATCTTAAGAGTGCATGTGAAAGATGTCTCTCGAGAATGAATATTTTCATGCCAGTTAAGGCGTCTCTTGTCTGTAAATCTGTCCATAATGATGATAATTAAAACAGTTCTCTCTTGAGTGAAGCCTCATGTGGTAAGTAAGGGTTGTTTCACATGTAGTTTCATGTGAGCCTTAAGATTTCCTTTTTGTGAGAAGCTCTTTCCACACAGTTTGCAGGTTTAACTACAGGTGACTTTTCATGTGTGAATCAAGGGTTGCTTTACGTCTAAAACACTTTCCACACTGATCACATGGAAACGGCTTCTCTCCATTGTGAACGACCATGTGAATCTTAAGAGATCTTTTCCGCGAGAAGCTATTCCCACACAGTTTGCAGGTAAAAGGTTTCTCTCCAGTGTGACTTCTCATGTGGGAATTAAATTGTGCTTTATGTGTGAAGCTCTTCCCACACAGACTGCAGGTAAAAGGTTTCTCTCCAGTGTGAAGCCTCGTGTGTATCTGAAGGCTTATGTTCTGATTGAAATTCTTTCCACAGTGAGTGCAGGTGAATGGTTTCTCTCCAGTGTGGATTCTCATGTGAACCTTGAGGTTTGCTTTAAATCTGAAACTCTTTCCACAGTCATGGCACGTGGAAGATCGAGAATGAATTTTTTCATGCCAGTTAAGGCGTCTCTTGTCTGGGAATTTCTGTTCACACTGATGACAATTAAAACAGTTCTCTCTTGAGTGAATCCTCATGTGGTAAGTAAGGGTTATTTCACGTGTAAAACATTTTCCACACTGAGCACACATGAAAGGCTTCTCTCCTGTATGAGTTATTATGTGAGCCTTAAGATTACCTTTTTTGGAGAAGCTCTTCCCACACAGTTTACAGGTGAAGGGCCTCTCTCCTGTGTGATTTCTCATGTGGGCATTAAGGGTTGATTTATTTGAGAAGCTCTTCCCACACAGCTTGCAGGTGTAAGGACTCTCTCCAGTGTGAGTTTTCATGTGCGAAACAAGGGTTGCTTTATGTCTGAAAGATTTTCCACACTGATCACATGGAAATGGCTTCTCTCCAGTGTGAACGACCATGTGAATCTTAAGAGATCCTTTGCGTGAGAAGCTATTCCCACACAATTTGCAAGTGAAGGGCCTCTCTCCTGTTTGATTTCTCATGTGGGCATTAAGGGTTGATTTATTTGAGAAGCTCTTCCCACACAGCTTGCAGGTGTAAGGACTCTCTCCAGTGTGAGTTTTCATGTGCGAAACAAGGGTTGCTTTATGTCTGAAAGATTTTCCACACTGATCACATGGAAATGGCTTCTCTCCAGTGTGAACGACCATGTGAATCTTAAGAGATCCTTTGCGTGAGAAGCTATTCCCACACAATTTGCAAGTGAAGGGCCTCTCTCCTGTTTGATTTCTCATGTGGGCATTAAGGGTTGATTTATTTGAGAAGCTCTTCCCACACAGTTTGCAGGTGCAAGTTCTCTCTCCAGTGTGAGTTTTCATGTGTGAAACAAGGGTTGCTTTATGTCTGAAACACTTTCCACACTGATCACATGGAAACGGCTTCTCTCCAGTGTGAATGACCATGTGACTCTTAAGAGATCCTTTGCGTGTGAAGCTATTCCCACACAATTTGCAGGTAAAAGGCTTCTCTCCAGAGTGACTTCTCATGTGGGAATCAAGGTGTGCTTTATTTGTGAAGGTCTTCCCACACAGATTGCAGGTAAAAGGCTTCTCTCGATGGCAGGTGAAGTATCTGTTAGATTCAGTCTTCAGAACTTCTTTGTGTGGTGAAGTTGTTTCAGACTGTATGGATATTTCCACATTCATGAAATCATGTCTCTCATATTGATCTTTCTCTTCTATCATTGTAAGTTCTTGCCTCTCTTCTTTTAGTGTCATCAGGTCTAAAGCAACAACAAAAAACAAATACAAGTTAATAGCAGAGTATTGGCTAAAACCAACAGACATTAAAACATAAAAACCAAAATTTTCCAACAAAACTGGGTTATAATAGACTAGTCACTCCTGGTCCTAGGGACCCACCTCTCTACTCATTTTGTTTGTCTCCCTTATTTGACAAACCTGATTCAGATCACCAGCTCATTAGGGGAGAGCTCCATCAACTCAGTGTATCAGATAAGGGAAACATACAAAATGTGCAGAGTGGTGGGTCCCCAGGACCAGGATTGAAACCCATTGTTAGAGACCAGTCCTGAATCTGTCATTAATGTCAATAAGCACTAGCACGGTTTAGGTTTCCTATATCTATCCAACTGCTAATACTTTATGTAAACGAATAGACATTTCATCAAACTCAAGTATGGAGTGCATCAGGGCTCAGTATTAGGTCCTCTGCTTTTCTCCTAGTATATGCTGACTTTGAGGGACATTATCATTAGAGCTCACAATGTTATGCCAATGATACATTTTAAAATTTCGTGACAAAACTGCACAACTGTCAGAACTATTGATCATGTTGTGTGTGCTTTTTTCTTCTTTATCTTTTTTATTTCATGATTTTAACTTCTCCTTTATTAACTCTTTCATACGTGAGTTTAAATTATTTTAGTTGAGCCCCCAGCCTAGGCGACCATTATTTTAGAATGTATCGCCTTATTGTTTCCATGGCAAAGTGTTATGCTTGTCATGTGACACACCGTAGCCACAATAGCATCGTATGACAGATGTACCGCTTTTATTTTGTTTTTCCTTTTATATTATAAATTCACACACGCGCTCACTATTATGATGAAATATTTGATATTCTGATTCTCAAATATGTGCAAGTAAATGTATTTGGTAGTTTAAACACTTTTATAATGACCATGGTAGTTGATCTATACCGGGTTTTGGGCGCTGCCATGTTAGTTCGCACTGAATCCGAGCTGTGGGATTTTTCAACACGTATATTCATCCTCTCCTACCGAAAGACATTAAAGTAAGTCTCCGGTAAACTGGGAGAAGAGTAGAGTAAACTTTATAGTTACCTACCCAATGTGTATATGATATCAATAAAACATGTCGTTAGATTATATTTGTAAGGATCATTATTGCCACTTCCAGTGTGTATTTGAACAAACTGTAAATTGATTTTTTTTTGCTAGTACTTGTGTGTATTTAAATGTCTGGAACTTAAAATAAGCATTATATGGTTGAAAGCACTGGATAGTTGTGATATGACAAGCACTCAGTGCGTCTGATCTGGCTCCGCGCCAGCTAAAGCGTGAAAGCAGATTTGAATTCAGCATGTGATGCACTGAACGTTCTAATCACACCGGTGTGATCGTACGCTCGAGGGACCAGCCTAGAGTGATCATACCAGTGTGATTATGTCTTAAAGGGTTAAAAGTGGGCAAGCACCAAATGTACAGAGCAGGGCCATCCTCGGCTGACACGGGCCTTGGTGCGAAATAGAGTTTGGGGGCCTCGGTCCAAAGGACGGCCCTGGTACAGACTTTCATTGTAGGTGAAGTAGAGAAGGACCCTGCTTCTATCAATCCAGTCTCCCCAGATACTCCACAGTCCACTACTGCCCTTCCAAAACCCCTTGGCCTTAGTCCACTGATCCCAGTCTGGTAGTGTCTGTGGTCCCAGAGCTCCCAAATCCAGTGGTCTCAAGTCTGGTGGTTACTAAGCTAGACTCATGAATCTACACACTCTAGAATGGACCACCTCCTTCCAGGTTACTTCATCTCCACTGGTCTTGTGCAGCCTTATGGCTTTTTTATGTCTGCTGGTACCACCCAGCCTTCTGATTTCTGCTTCCCAACCATGGGAAGTCATCCAAAGCCCCATTATCCTCCACTGGCTACACGCAGCTTCCCAGTCATGAGCTCAGTCTAGGTGCTCAGATTCCTCGGCTCCACCTTGGTCTGTTGACTCATCGGCTCCATTTTCTTTTGGCTCCACTGTTGTCCATCATTCCACATACTCAGTATTCATATCGGCTCCAATACTGCCCTTTTCTGCTGGATCGGGACTGATCCAAATCCAATATTGTGTGTTAACTATTCTGTGTTATTGTTAAACCCCACAAAAGGCACAAAGTAAAAGCACCATCAATTTTTTCAAGTGTTCTGAAGCCCGTTCCTAGTTTAATGGGAAGTACAGATGAATATTTAAGTTGCTAAATTCAAGTTCACGTAAACTGTCCTCTGCGGCTGTCTGCCATCCTCCATTCAGCATTCAAACTGTGTGTTGCATTCAATTACAACAGTCAAAACGATGAAACTGTCTAAGATGACTATTCCTATTATTATACTTGATCTGTAGATAAAGATCAGTGGTTTTGCATAAAAATATTTCATATCTTGCTGGAGTTTAGTGCTGTTTCTAAATCATGTTACTTTCTACTAGGTGTCTGTTTGTTCACAACACTGGAGTAGACAGCACTATTATGAATTGTTCTTGATGTGCACAGTAACTGAAATTTACAAGAAAAGGCTCAATAAATTATTTCACAGTTATAATTAGTGTTGGGGAGTAACACTGATTTAAAGTTACACTTTAGGATTTTAAAAGTCTTGACAGTAATCAGTGTTGAGTGCTACTGTAAGATTAATCCTGCCTGGTTTACATGTTTGAAAATGTTTCACTTTAATGCTGCATTCCTGACAACTCAAAATTCTTATTTTTCCCAACTCCTACTTGGAAATAATGTCTAGAACGGTGCTTGAAGTCAGACATCCGACCTGTGAACTCGGGGCAGATCGATCAACCCCGACCTCAGCGAGACTGCTTCCAGCAAGCATAAAGTTACTGTAGTGTTGACCTCAAAGTTAAAAACATTAATAATAAGATTTATTTTTGCTTATATTTAACTTTTTGTTTTCAAAATGAACAGAAACATTTTCTTGTTTTTGGAATAATTGACACAAAAAGAGGAAACACTCTCATTGTGTCATGGCGGCATCATGTGGTCAATGTGTATTTGACCGTTGATTGACTGGAACTACTCATTGAGGTTGGAACATTTAAAATCAAATGTTTCCACATCCGACTTTGGCTGCGTTTACACTTGGCATTAATATGCGATCACCTGACTTCTCTATCTGGATAACCGATTGGATCTGTCGTTCCCGCGGAATATTTAAATATGTCTGCAGATGATGGCCCTGTGCAAAGTCGACCTGAAGTGGTTGGTTTTCTTTTGAAAACCATTTTCAGTCGCGGTAAATTTAACAAAGGAAAATAACTACGAGTCTCACTAGTTCAGGAGAGAGGGGGCGGGGTTTTGCATGATGTCGCCCTGAGAATGCAGACACGATGGCTGGATTGTGTTTACATTACACTGAGATCCGATCACAATGCGTCCTCGACTACCTCTAGAGCAGGACACGCTGATCGGACAACATTCCAATCAGAAGCACATTTACACTTGTCTTTTCAATGTGTATGTGGACAACATCCGGATACAGGTCGCATGTTAATGCAAAGTGTAAACACATCCTTTGTCTCATATGCAGCATAAAAGCAGTGCTGTCTCTTTAAAAATCTGTTGCACATTATGTGGATTTGACAAGTCCAATTTTCTCCCCATTCTTTATCGTCATTTAGGATTGCTCATTTAAGATTGTTCAACTCACTCGACAAAAATGGTCATTTTGTGTGTTTTTGTCCGGTATTTGTCTGGGCAGCATGAGGACCCACTCCATGTCAAATGAAACAATATGATTCATTTCTGTAGAGCTGGACATTTTAATAAGGATCAAATGAGTGAGTTCAGGTTTGAGAATGAAAACCAACCTGTTGGTTCCTCAGTATCTTCATGTTTGTCTCTGAATGCTTCTTCAATCTTCAGGTCTTCACTCTCCTCTTTAATAAACGCCATCTTTACAATAGTGTGTCATGTGGATCTCAGTCGCTTCACCAGCAACTGGACACTTTTCCTGTTTAAGATGAGAATAAATAACAGAAAGAAAAATAAATCTAAAATAAATATTAAAGTGCATCTCAATCAGATCCCAAGTTACTGCACTGTGAGCCAGTCAGAGTGATAGCTAATGGTCTTAAATGACCTGATTAGACACAAACAAAAGACAAAAAACAGCATTTATGTTTTACATTTGGTATTAGGTTACGGTTGCCAATCGTTCTGTATAATACAGAATCGTCTCGTATTTAAGGCATCAAAAACGTGTTTCATATGAAAGCCATATGGAATACAGTTTGTCCCGTATTCACAGACATACACCATAGCCATATTATTCTAATGCTGAAATGTTTATTTTTCATGAACAAACAGAATTTCATGTCTGAAATAAGCTTTTAAAGCGGTCATATGATGCGATTTCATTTTTTCCTTTCTCTTCGGAGTGTTACAAGCTCTTGGTGCATAAAGAAGATCTGTAAAGTTGCAAAGACTAAAGTCTCAAATCCAAAGAGATATTCTTTATAAAAGTTAAGACTTGTCCACGCCTACCTAAAATGGCTCGTTCTAACACGCCCCCAACATATCTACATCACTATGTGGGAAGATGTTCACGCAAAGAAAGAAGGCGTAACTTTTATTCTCGCTGTAGTATTGTTGCGCCCGCCGCCATGTCGTGAAGACGCTGTGTGCTTCGTTGTGAAAGCGAAACTACTTTGTTTGGTCTTCCAAAAGAGGACGATATCTGCTTCGTCATGCCTGGAGCTGATCCGTGCTGGTCGCTGAGG